GTGTTTATTTGTGTCTTTGTCCTTGTACTTTTGTTGCTTACATTAAATTTACTTTGAATTAAGTACAGAACTCACCTGGGTTTAGTCTAATTACTTAAAGGAAAATAGAAGAAGATTGCGCTTTTAAACTTATAAGTACCTTCAAAAATTAATTTTGAAATTGGAGGAGGAAAAGCAAAATCATATGATGGTATGGTATACTAAACTGAAAAAATGAATACTTATACAGTGAAACACAATACTTTTTGTTTCTGCCTGCCTAACGATTAGGTCTGTCGACAGTCACTGTAGTTTAAAATATGAAACCTCTCGGTTGTCTGGAGAATAATATAATTCGAACCAAAATTAGAATATAAAACTTTGAATACTGGCACTCTAGCTCATTCATAATCAAGTTGGTGTCTTCAAAATGAAAGTGAGTTTTTATATATTCCATTCTAAAACCCATTTTCTTCTTTTCCTTTTTCTCTTCATGCAGAATCTTCACATCCTTTGATGAACTTTCTTTATGTGATTGTGCATTGGCTTTGGCTGTCACTAATCAACAAACAGAAAGAACCTGATGCCTCACTTTAACCGATTTCCTCTCTGTCGTGCCAAGAAGCATCTCGGATATCCTTATCTTCACCGAAAGCAGGAAATGTCTTTTCAAGACGGAAAATATATATGTTCTATAGAAAACTAAACGAGTGAACAATGCACAATCACAATCAAACATAATGGAATAATCTCTAAAAATAAACGAACAAACACGAACAATATTCAACTTATAGATTAGCTTAGTCCATTTTTACTATTGTACGTAAATTATATCTCAATGCATGCATTTATTTATATTATGCAAAAATATTAATTTAAATTATTATATAGTTACTTAATTATATGTTTTGTCCAAAATTGGTTGTTATATATTAAATTTTATTATTTTCTATTGTTTTAAAAAGTATAATAAAATATTCATTAATATTATTTTATAATTTTGATAATGTAGAATGATTTGATACCACAACAAATAATTATGATGTAATAATGAAATAATAAAGTAACAATGAGTAAGCAAATTTTATAAATAAATGTGTATTAATGATTGATTTTGCATTTAAAAAATTATTGAAAAAGTAATAATAATAAACGAAAAGAAAATTAAAATGAAGAAATAATATAATTTTTGTATAGTATTTTACAATTTTAAGCAAAAAATGAATATTTCCAATATCCAATCGTGCATCGAGTTCTGTCGTTTCGGAAAAAAAAAAAATCGTGCATCGAGTAAGAAAATGAGAATTTTATATTACATACAAAAAGTATTGTTAATATTGATTAAATTTGAAAAAAGTTGAATAAATGTCAGAAGTGGGATTTGAACCCACGCCCTCTCACGAGGACCAGAACTTGAGTCTGGCGCCTTAGACCACTCGGCCATCCTGACTTATTCTTTTAATTTGTTATTATTATTATAGAGTCATTTTTCACCGTAATATAAGTTTATTTAGAAAATTCCCCATAATGGCTTTCTCGTTTTTTCTTCTCGTCTAAAAGTACCATAATAGTGGATTTATATGGACAGTTTATGATTCCAATCTCCATATATGTCAGTTAATAAAATGTTCAATGAATTTAGCCACTTGATTTTAATGGCCTAACTATTTTTGTAACAATCAAATAATTATCACTGTTGTCGGGTAGAAAGGGTGGGGACGATGGCTATCAATCAATGAATTTACAGTATTAAGCATGCATATCTGTTATGCATATATGTTGAAAAAGTATATTACTGTTTACGGATAATGTTCCCCTACCTACTGTGGGCACATGCTAATATGCCCACCGGTAATGTGACATGCACGCATTGGTGATGTTAATATGTTCAAAAAAGTATATCACCAATGTGTACATGCCACATAAACGGTGAGCATATTAACATGTGCCCACCCGGATAAGTGAGCATTAGTGTTTACTTGGATACTATACTTAAAAAATCCACATAAAGGTTAGCCTGAACAGAAGCTGCATGTACAAAATTATATCTTATCATGATGTGACATTGGAAACATAAATTGCAGGAAATAAAGATTCATTGAAACATAAATTAAAGGAAATAAAGATTCATTGAATTTATCCAACAGCTTATAAGTATTAGGCCATACCAGTGTGTGTGTGTGTGTGTGTGTAATTATGTGTGTGAGAGGAAAAGAGATTGTCACCAAAAGTAACACAAAAGAAAGTGATGGAACTTAAAATTTTGATGATTGATCCAACAAAACAGACTGTTACAATATCTTACCTACTGCATGGATTAATGCTTGAAGATACTAATACAGGCTAAAAAATACCCATATGCAAGAACACTAGAAACATGTAAAACTCAAGAGCACCCCAAATGTACCGGAGTTTCCAAAGGTGCATAACTAATGAATGAATGCAATTAAAAAAAAAAAAAAAAAGAAGCGAATTCGAAAGATAACTGCTTATAAAAGCTCATTTGCTCGACTCGCTCTTTGTGGAGCCATTGCCGTTTGATTGTTGTGACTGCTTTTGCTGTTGTTGCTGTTGGTGTTGCATTTGAGCCATTGCCTGCTGCTGCTGTTGATTTTGGCATAGCTGAAACATTTGGGGACTAATTGAAAGTTGCTGAAACTTGGAGGCATCCCCAGTTAGTTCGGTGGTTGCAAGTTTCAAGCGTTGTACCTCACCCGTAAGTGCATCATTCAAAGCTGTCATGAGAAAATCCGAAATAAATGAATTTTCAATTGCAGTTGTAAAAGCGAATGGGCCAGTTAATCGTTCGTGCTTAATTTACAAATCACTGAACCATTTGTGAGTAGGTGAAAACTTAGAAATGACAATATTTTACAAATTAGAGCAATCTAAAGTAAAAACTTAAAAAAATTTGGGGCATGTATTTTGTCAAAAAAATCCCAGAATGTGCGAACAAGATTAGAACAATTAAGACCAATCCCCAAACTGGACGGGAGCCGGGAAAAATGATATCTTTAAGGGTGATAAGAAATCCATGATCATGCACTTAACCAAAGTACAAGGCTTTGAATAACTATTTTCACAAGCACATCCAGTACAAAATGGACTGGAACTTCTGACTTTCAGTATAGGAGAGTAAGTGTTAATACCCTCAGGAAGACGAAATGAAATCGTAAATATAGAACACAAAATTCATACCATCTCGAAGTTGAGCCTGTTGTTCCATTGCCTGTAACCGGAACTTCAGCTCATTGTTCTGGCTAGTCAGTCCAGCAGAATCTCGCTAAATATACATAAGAAATGAAAAAAAAGAAGCATAAAGATAGCATCAATGGTTTAAAACAACTATTAACCAAAGCCAATAATTAAAATTTTTCAATCGTCACCTGAAGCAGAGTAAGTTGGGCAGATAAAGTAGTTGCTTCAGTCTGTAAAGTTTGGACCTTGTGCTCCAACTCTGCTATATATCTCATCTTTCGCTCTTTCGACCGAGCAGCTGACTGCCGGTTGGCTAATATCCTAAACTCAACACAAATCCAGTAAATATAAATATAGATTACCCATATGCATCATATCTCTACATTGTAAAGAACACTTTTAGGATGGGCAAACTGCATGTCATTTTTTTAATGTATTTACCTCTTGGCCCGCTTTGGATCACTCAATGCTATCTCGGCAAGCTTCTCATTCGCCATGATCTTCTTCAGCTCAGCACCCGTGAACTCACTATTACCAAACTCCAGGCTAAAAGGGTTCGAGCTTGCATCCACCGAATTAGTTGGAGACAGCTGGCCAGGTAAGGGCCCTGGTGATGGGGGCATTTTCGGCGACCCTTCCCCGAAATTCATCTTCCCCATAAAACTATCCATGGACAGGCTCCTGTAGTGTCGCGTGGTAGGGGCAATATCTTCCCCTGCACTCCTCTTAAACCCTTCCCTCTTCTGCTGCAAGCTGTTACCACTCTCATTCACACTGCTGCTCGTGGCCTCGTTGTCACTACTGTCACCCCCATTTGTCTTGGACCCGCTAGCCCGACTGCTGTCCAAATCGTCCCGATTCTCATTTCCGAGCTTCTCGTCCGTTCCGGAAGAATTGAAAGCGTCGATGTTTTCCAGATTCATATATGCCGAGAACAAGTCATCAACGACCTCTCCCTCAGATTTTCTCTCACCCGTGCCTTCTCCATTGCCGGCCTCCCAGATGGACTCTTTCTTGACTAGCTGCATGGGCTGAGCTGGCGAACTGTTGTCCCTCGGAGGTCCCGGTCGGTCCACGGCTCCAGGGCTTCTCAACGGCAAAAGCGAAGGCGAAGAGGACTGCACGACTGGCAAGAACCCAAACGGGATATCACTGTTGGACCTCCGGTGAGCCTTTCGAGGTGGGAGATTTTCGTTGATTCTTGACGAGCCGGTGGTTCTCGCGAAAGGGGACACATCCTCCATGGGAACATCGGAAAGCGAACTCTGGGGAAAGTCCCGGAAGGGAAATGGGCTGAGCGGCGGGAGTGAGTCGAGGGCGAAAAACGAGGGCTGAGAGAGGGACCGGGTGTGTGACGGGGCTGAGCTGGCGGCGAAATTTTGGAGCCCGGTTTGAGGCCGGGCGAGGGGGATCTGAGAGTAGGGGGAAATTGGGGGGATTTGGGGGTGGGAAGGAGGAATGCCGGGACGTCTACTGGTGGTAGTGTCGAGGCCGGAGTTTGGGGAGGCCTGGTGGCGGAATTGGCCGCGAAATTGGAGGACGTTCGGCTGAGGTATGTCGAGATTGTTTATCAGGAAAGGCGGCAGCGGAGGCTGGTGGTGGTGGTTCTGTTTCGGGAGGGAGGAAGGTGATGCTCCGATTGAAGATTGGAATCTCTGCGCGTTGACTACTTCGTTGTCGGCGGACATTTTTGCTGAGTGTCAGAAGGTCTCTGCAGATTTATGCGCTGTTTGGGTGCAGTTTAATTCAGTAAACCTGTAAATCGAATCCAAAAAGAAAACCGCCATAACTATAAAAGCTATGCGTAATCATCCAATATTGATACGGTTACAGTTACAACTCAATCGGCAAATTAATCAGAAAAATAATGAAATGCGCATGCGAGGACATGGCGATTAACAGGACGACCTCCACACTGTGCATTGAACAATCGAGCGAGATAACACAAAAAGAAAAAAAGGTTAAAAAACTACCAGACCATTACTGGCGAGCGGCGCAAGTTAGCGGGAGCTTAACCGGCGTATTTTGGCGGCGGCCGCGGCGGTATGTTCCTCGCTCTGCAAACGATGATTTGCGCCGCCGTGATTTCTCTCTCTAGAGGTGGGTTTCTATCAGTTTCCCTCTCTACAAAACGTAGACGACGACTGGTGTGACTGTTTACACGGACTTCATGACTGCTGCTGCTGCTGGGCTTTGCCTTTACTCGCTAAGACGCGTGAATTTTAATGGGAGTTTCAATTTCATTTGGGACGAATTTGGGAAGCATTTCAATTTCATTCCGACCACATTTGGTGGTCATTTTCCTATTTATTTATTTATTTATTTTTCTTGCCTATATCACCGCAGCTTATTATGGGATAAATGGGTCTGGTCTGGTCCAATAACGTATCTTATCCGGAAAATGGGCCACGTCTCACAATCTCTAATCCTGCACGTGCAACTCGAGCACGTTTGAGTTTACCCTTTTTGTATCTATCCATGCCACGTGAAGTGGACTCGAACCGGCCCAACTAATTAATCAACAATTCATAAACATGGCTAAGGTTTGGAATCAGCTATCGAACCATCCGAATCGGCCCGTTGACCAAGGTTCACGAATCATGTGAACCGATCCTGGGTCGTATTCAAAGGTTTGACTAGTCGGTTCCAAAATCGGAACCAGCGAGTCGGTGCCATAAATTTAAAATAAAATTACAACATAGTTTAGAATAAAAGTTAAAAAAGAAAGGAAAAAATAAATGATTTGACCTAGAATCGCGACCGAAACTGATGGTCGAGCTAGAACCAGGATTGCTGGTTTTTTAACCGGGCTTGTGCTTCTCCTAGGTCGATTTCTGTTCCAATATAACTGGCTCGAAACTGATTGACTGGGTTGTTTGGTCATGTCTAAAATATTTAATTATCTAAAGCATATTGGGAGTGAAATTGAATAGATATACAATTTAAGCGAGTTCAAACTCGTAAAACCCAAACTCAAGTTGAGCCTTCATCGAGTTGAGCCGACCTCGACTAGACATATACCGAGATGATATACGAGCTCAAGTTTGATTCGTGTATTAATATTAACAAACTAAACTTAAGTCTTAACGAGTTGAGATAAGCTAAGAATACAAATCAGCACAACCCAAACTCGTTTATCAAAGGAGTCAGAGTTGTGTTCATGAATAACTGGTTTTATTTATTAATTTAGAATACATTGCACATAAGAACTAATAAGATCAATAGTAAAAGTAAAATACAGAAAATAAACTTACATTGCTATTGTTTACTTGAATCTTCAACTTGCCATGGCTTTAATCTTTTGGGTTGATTCAAAAAATTTCTACATTTGCATTTTTCTACAAAATTTTTACATTCTTCATTATTTTCTAAAAGTTGGCCTCACTCTTAAATAGTGCTCACTTTGTGGGTAATTTTGAAAATATGTAGAAGTTGATGGGCCATTTTGTGAAAGCAAGGCACACGTTGGGATAAGAAGGGAGTAAATGCAATTCAATCTTTTAGGTAACAGCGTGATTTAAATTGGATTTTAGGTACTAAATTTGCACAATGGTCCACACGGGCGGGCTCACTCTAATTCTCGTGTTAATTATTAGCTAATGATTAGGTGTATCACTCAATTGTGGATTAACAAAAATTAAATTAGATTCCTTAGCTTTGCCTTTTGTAATAATTAGGGTACCAATTATCCAATATTGGCTCGTTACATTGATGTAAATATGATTTTTTTTATTCCTTATTTTTTAATTCAAATAATATCTATTTGAGAAAAAAAGATAATTTTTTGTTAGAAAAATCAGTTATAAAACTTGGGTTTGACCCGGTTTTGACTGAATTTTTTATGGCTTAATATTTAATTTGAGTTGAATTAAATATTGTAGAAAAAATCTACGTTCCGAGTAGATACACGTGTTATATTTATTTTCTCAAAACTGATTTTCGGTGAGTGAGAAATAAATTGTTAAAGTTAGCCATAAAAGAGCACGTAAAACGTTGGTTGTGGGATTTGAAGGGTCAAGAGTCACTCCCACATTGGAGCCTTAAATAAGTTTAACTCTCTTTATTATAATGAAGAAAGTTGGAGAGGTTACAATAAGCACAAAGCTATGCACCAAGTGTTGATGTTGTTTTTGGCCACACGCGCTCGCGCGCCCGCCGACTCGGGCTCGGGCATGGGACTTGGGCCTTGGTTCTTGGCAATTGGCAATTGGACTTTGGGTTGGACTTGGGCGGTTGGGCCCAACTAGAAAATCATTTTGGACTTGGACTCGAGTTTTGACCCAACCCGAGTGAGACCTCTCCATGTACAATGAATCTGTAGTTATCACATGAGTCAGAGTTGTGTTCATGAAAATAATTTAAATTAATTTAGTGCTTTAATGTTTTAATTACACATATCACTAAGGATTTCTCCATGATTTTTTTATTAAATAAACCATATTCAGTTAGATATTATGTGTATATTTAATTAGTACAGAGCCCGTGCGATGCACGAGGTGCACAATTTTAAGACAATTTATTCAGCCTTATAATAATATAAATGAATAAAAAAATGTACAAGATATATATAGTACGTGACCTGTGCGATATTTATTTGGGGATTATTATACTATAAGATGCAATATTCAATTAAAGTTTTACGATACACGACAATAAATATAATAATGTAAATATCTAAATACATCACGATATGTAGAATAAATAAGCCAAATTGTAAATCTAAAAATAATTAAAAAAAATCGAAAATATATTTCACTAAACATGTACAAAAATATCTAAATACATACATGAAAATAAAATAAAAAAAATTAAAATATACGTTTCAAATTTTGAAATTAAAACAAAAATTCAAATAATTTGGCTTACAGTTTTATCATGCAGAACCAACTCCAGATATGATTTGTATGTGCTGCCCCAATCTTGGAAAAATATTCTCACAATTTGAACTTGAGCATAAGTCTATTAGACCTATTGACTTGTTTGATTAACCCAAATTCTTGATTCGTTGTTTTAGATAAAAGACCGATTGATGATATTTTTTGTTCGCATGAGGTTGACAGTGAGGAAGATGATGGCTCGATACTTTGATATTTGTAATATATAATGGGTAGAGTAGATATATATTCATGTTAATATTTTTATTAGAAAATCTGAATCTGAATATACAGAAATCGGTTTGAATAAAATTAGAACAAATTTCTATACGATTAGATAATACTTAGATAATAAATAGAGCATTTTTTATTTTGGTAAAGATTTTACGTACTTTTTTTTTATTTATCGGATGTTATGTGGTTTTTTTTGTTAAACCGATTTTGTGGGATATAATACAAATACAATTAGAGGATTGAATAAAATCAGAACAGATTTCCATACAATAAGATAATAAGAAGGAATTAGATAAGGAAAAAAAAGAATTAGATAAGAAATTTTGAATTTGCCTTTTTTTAGTATAGATAGACTTTAAGTACAATTTTTTACTTCACCAATTTTATGGGATTTGTTTTGACAAAATCGATGTTAATATGGAATAAGACAAATAGATAAAACCTTTTTATTTTAGTAAAGATTTTACGTTCTTTGTTTTCCTTATCAGATGTTATGGGATATTTTTTTCTTAAACTATTTTATGGGATATAAGACAAATAAATAAAATAATTAAATAAAATTCTGGATAGAAACAACAATGCATTAATTACGTTGACTTTTCAACCTACTAAATTTGGTAAATATGATACCTTATTATATAAGTATAGATATCAAAGATGAATCAATTTTTTTTCAAAAAATATGGATACAATATTGAATGTACATCCCGTCCAAATCTCAATTTTGTGTTAAAAGAAAAATTTTACTTGATTTTATTGAATTTGCACAATTTTATGAAAGAAAATATTATTCAAAAATATTGAAAGAATTTGTTAAGAAGTGTAAAATTATTTGTTTCCTAAATTTGTATCCAATTTGCACGGCTTTTAAATTAATTTGTATTTGGTATTGCTTTCAAAAATAATTTATACATTTTTGGTATAAAGTTCTTCAAAGTTATAAAAAATATTATGATTGGGATTTTGAAATAAAAATAAAAAATGATGCAAAAAATGAGATTAAAATTTTACCATAAAAATCTCTAAATTTGTTACAAAAAAAGTATAGGATTCAAATTTTGTTATCAAATATTAACACGTGTTTTTTCAAAATTTCCACAAATAGTAAGTCAAACATCATATTTTTTTGGTCAAACTTTCTATTAGTGTATTTTTTTAACAACCTTTTTATATAGCTATAGATATAGATATAGATATAGATTAACATTATTAAACAAATTATTTTTTCACAAATCCTTTTTTTCTTCCTTGTGTTTTTTTTTTCCTTAAATAAAACAATATCCAATGGCACATAAAAGGAGTAGGGGTGAGCATCGGTCGGTTCGGTCCGGAAACTGAACTGAACCAAAAAAACCGAAAACTGAAATTGTATTACACTATGAAACCCAACCGAACCGAATAATTTTTAATAAGTTCACAACACATGTTCCAAAACATAATAATTTTTATCACAAGTTCTCTGAAATCTGAACTCTGATTATATTATTTAGTTATTGGGCTATGAAATTGGGCATATATATCTAAAATCTAAAAATTTGATTTATATTATTTAGCTGTTGGGGCTGGACAATGGACCACTACTATTAAAGTTTACTAATTAGTAACATTAATCCGGTTCGGTTCAGTTAAATCGAATTTATTTTCGAAAATCGAACCTAACCGAATAAACCGATTTTTAAAAAAATGAAACCGAACCGAATTAGGAAATAAAAAAACTGAACCGAAAAAATTGTAACACCCCGTTGTTTCATGAAATTCAGAGCGCGCTTTTCGCAAAATTTTCTAAAATACAAATATTAAATTTTTTTAATTTAAACCGAACCGGTCTGAACGTTGGTTGTGGAAAAACCCCAGTCGTTGGTACACTCGAAAAATTTCAGAGATACGCACATGTACAAATGAGGATAACTAGCAATATCAGCAACTACCTTTCGTGAACATCTACTCGATAACGTGGCACATCGTTCGCGGCACATTGCAATACAGCACACCTGCTCCTCACCAAGTGAGTGCGGCACATCTGCATGCAGCACTTGGCGAACATTGCACCTGCGTCGTCGACGTAGTCTTGTATAACTGATCATATATGTACTTCAAGCTAGTAACCTCAATGTACTATTATGCTAACTCTCTGTGATCTTCCAGTATACAACACTATTCGATTCAGTTCGGTTCGGTCGATTTTCCGAATAATGCTCACTTGTAAAAAGGAGTTCTTCATTCCTACGCACCCACGGGGCCACGGCTACCGAACAATTTAGGGCACATGTACACGCCGCGTGAACAACTTAACCACGGTCAGAATAATAGCAAAACAAACCCACCACACATCCCTCAGAAATCTCTCCACGTGTCCCTTCCTTCAACGGCCATGATCTATCTTTCCAACCCAATTACAAAACCCTAACAACGAGACCAAAAAAAATTACTTAACCCCATTTCAGAAAAACCTCCGAAATAAAAAAGTTCAAAATGAACATGTCGAATGAGTCGAATCCCAGGGTTTTTTTCGACATGACTATCGGCGACCAGCCCGCCGGCCGGATCGTGATGGAGCTCTTCGCCGACGTCGTCCCAAAGACAGCCGAGAACTTCCGCGCCTTGTGCACCGGCGAGAAGGGCGTCGGAAAATTCGGCAAGGCCCTCCACTACAAGGGGTCGCGGTTCCACCGCGTGTACCCCGATTTCATGTGCCAGGGCGGCGACATCACGGCGGGTAACGGCATCGGCGGCGAGTCGATCTACGGAGGCAAGTTCGCCGACGAGAATTTCGTGAGGAAGCACGCCGGACCGGGGATCCTG